TTTTTTACTTTTGCCTCTGAAAAAATGTTTTTTACCCTTTTCCAAAAATACACATATAAACAGCATTACAAATTGGCAATGCATAGCCCCTATTTTCAGTCTGAATTTCATGAATGTAAATGAGCATAAAAGAATGAGAAAGCTGCAAAATAATATTATTAATGCCAAAAAGAGAGCGAGAGAAAGAAAAAACAAATCTTTTGACTCCGGAAGCAGCATTGACAGTTTAAGGTTGAGGTGTGGCCAGAGGGGTAAAGCGCTGGTGTGCTTGTCTTTAAACGAATGTCAAAGTGTCCACTGTAAACAACGAGGATGAGAGATCGGAAAGGTGAGCCGGAGGTGGACGTGATGTGTTCCTGATGGTAGAAGAAACAGAAATGTTGGCTCTAACTAATGATGATAGGTCGGTATGCAAGGGAAAAAAAAGACACACAAGCAATGAAAAGGAAAAGGAGAGCTAGCTGAGGACATGGAGATGAGGAAGATTGGGAGAGAGCTGGAGTTCCCTGCCGATGTTGGCTTTGCTGCCAGAGTTGTGGCTGCAGGTGGAGGTGGTTAGTAGTCGCTGGTTTTCGCCCTGTGAAAAGAAAATAAAGAAAAAGAAGTTCCTGTTAAACTCAAAAAAACTTTTTTCTATCGGTCAGTGAAGCTTAAGAGTGATCAAAGGAAGCCGTGCTACAAAAAATCCCGTTAGTATCTTAGGCTTGGCCGAGCTGCCGTGATGAAACCGCAGAAAGCAGGAATCTAAAGATCACTTTGATCACATCAACATCAGACCGACTATCAGAGCAGCAAAAGCAGCTGTTATGCTTAATAAAACTCGTCACACTCACAGGGGATTTCCTGCATACAAAAATCCCCCCCAAAAGAAAAAATCGCCACAACTGTTTATTTGTTTATGGCCAGCAATACCATAGTAACCTTTTGTAACTTGAGGTCTTTGTCTCAACCAATCATATTTAAATGTGTACCCTCCAAAGGCTCGATGAGAGCCAGGAAAACCCCCGAGTGCGCTCAGAAGCTTTCAGCTGAAACACGAAAATGTTTCGTTATTTTAAAGCATCCAAAGACATCACTGTTTCGCTCTTTGCTTTTAGGACTAGCTTTGCATTGCCTTGCATGTGAAAGACTTTAGATACCAAAATGATATTTCAGCGCTCAGTGTTTGTTTTAAAAGGCCAACCTCCAACAGTATCCAGCTGCTGAAGTTGCTCGTGTTTCGGCTGCTGGTGTGGTTTGCTCTGTGCTGCTGCTGATGCGTACACTTGGCTGTGGTACTGTATGAATCTGTGATTCTGTGGTGAACGTTACCAACACACTACTGAAGTTCAGGTATGCAGAAATGCTACAGTGTAGTACCCAGCCGCACCCAGAGTACAGTAAAGTTAAGGAGTCTGTGTTAATTCAAGTCTATCATGCTCGAGTAAATTCTATTTCAACAAACAATGGCAGTGGTTTTTATTGCACTTTCTGGAGGGTGCCAGAAATTCCTCTAGGCAGGAAAAGCCCTGCACACAACTGTAGTATGCAGTCATAGAGTCAGAGTGAGCTGCCAAACCAGCTCCTCCAGTTCCAACGTGCAAGGGTACAGACATGGCGTAATCACAACCAACAATGGTATGTTACGGATACAGCCAAGCTTTTCCCCACATCTCAGAGATATGTTCAATATTTTTGTAAAGTAAAGCAAAAGTTGCCCTCTCCATTAAATCTAATGATCAGTGCTAAAATGAAGAACGTAGATGTCTGCCATAGAGCTGGAGTCGGGCCTGAAATTACACTTACATTAACTCTGACTGCTTTAATAACACATCAAACTACATGTGTGTAGTTTCAGCCTCTTCTGCTTTGAGGTCTGGGACTGTTGGTTGGATAGAAGTAAACACTGAAGCGCTTTACGTAATTTACAGGCACTTCAACTATTTCCAGACACACAAGCAAAAAAAGAAAGAAAAGAAAAGAAAACTATCTAAAAATTAGATGTTAGTTGAGCAACAGGAAGTGTTTTTGGTCTTCCAGCTGCCTGTTTAAGTAAGAAAAGCTGCTGATTTGATATTCAAACTTTCAAGTCCAAAACACAATTGATGCACTTCACAATACACAAATCCACTAGGAACACAGACACACTAAAGTCCTCAAGATAGAAAAAACATGCAGCAAACCCAAACATATCCACTCATTATTTTAAAAAGTTAAGCCAAAGCAGATGTTCTTTAAACCTGCCTTCTTTCTATGTGGAGGGCAACTGTTTAGGGAGGCTTTCCAAATTCAACAAGATTATTTTAATATATTTTACTGTCTGCATTAAGTTAGAAGCAAAAAGGATCACAAATCAGGGTACGCCTTAGCAGAGGCACAGGCAGCTGCAATCAGCTGTGTGCTCTTTAGACTGTTTTTTAATTATCATCCTGAAAATACATCAATATATCTTTGAACTCTTTGATTTGTGTGTTTGAGATGCACTTCTGGCTGCTTCCTCTCACAAATGTTACAATGACACAGGTGAGGTTCCAGAAGTAAAACTCCCATTCATGTTCTCCAGGAGGATTTTTGATTATGGGCCATAAAACCAAAAAAAAAAAAACTAGCCTACCCACAATCTTAAATTGAATCTGCAACATCTGTGATTGGTGGAGGCTGGTGTTACCGTGGCAATGTTTAAATCTGCAGATTGCTTAGTGGGAAGAAAGTTCACAAACTGCAAGAGCTGTCACTGCAATCGGGAACAAAGAACTGTACCATACACACAACTACACTATCCTTTACTAAACACACACACACATATATATACACACACACAAAACTATTATTTTACAGCAATACAGAAATGAAAAGAATTCAGTTCAATTAGGTTTTGCACTATTGGGACAAGTAATTTCTTCACCGTTAATTGTGTACCCTGTAATGTGCCTTTTTTCTTTTGTTTTCCTTCAATTTTGTGATCCAAAACAAAGATTTTTTATGGTCATGCTTTACCTCATGGCTTGTTTGGCTTTGATCAAGGCCTAAAACTCTCAGTATGAAGATTTTAGGAAAAGTAAATAGAGAAAATGAATGGGGAAATTCACATCTGGAACCAGAGCCTTTTAAAAAAAGCTTTTCTGGTGTTTCACTGCTACTTTGGCAGTGCTGCTTATTTTGTGTGTTAGCCAGCAAATAGCTTAAAATGAGCTTTGTGAAAACAGAAAGCAAACTGCTGTGAGCAGCTAAGACTGCTGATTTTTCAAAAGTTAGCGCTGACTGCATCACGATGTGGCGTTTGATCCATAGAGGCGCTCTTTCAGCTGCTTACAACAACCGAATATTTCAGAAATACATCGACTGACAAAACACCGAGTGGATTTCCGCTGGAGCACAGGTATCAAGATTTTAAAACTGAAGCTGTGGGCGTTTGACCATCAGTAGACTCAGCTGGTTTTTCAGCCAGACCCACTCCTCATTTGTCAGAACGGCAGGATGGAGGGCTTCATCAAAGGTCCAATCACTGATGTATTTTTCTATAACTGCCAAGGGACAATCTATGCTTCGGCCTTCTCTTTCCAGGCCTCCTTCCTTGCATGACTTTTATTTTCAAAGCAGAGGTTGTTGATTAATCTTTCGTACGCCCACTTTCTTGACAGGGTTTACTGCAGAGATAAAACGCTGCCGGCAAATTCAAATATATGATGCATAATAAAAATTAGCATTTTGCATTGTTCCAACCGAACCTGACATTTCAGAGTTTCGAAAACCAACAACCACAAATGTACTCACACTCGCGCAGCATGCTAGAGTGCAGCCAAAATTAACAACTCCAAAACCACAAGAGCCAAGCAAATCATCAAAGGAAGAACAAAACCCCAAGAGAAAACACAGCAATACACACTTACACACACACACACACACCTGCACACACGCAAACACACAGACCTCCATGTACAAGAGTGGGTGTTCTTTCTTTTGTTTTGTTTTTTTTAAAGCTGCGGGTAAACTTCGTCCGTTAAACGCGCTCTCCGTGGTTGTCGTTGCTGCCTCAGAGGGGGGTAAAGATACACCGCCCCCCGCCGGACAGCCGAGCTCTTGTCATGTGCAGCAAATGCAGCCCAAACTGTCCAGGAGAACCACAACAACAGTGTAAGATCTTCACAGAAATGGCGCAGTTTTGCCTGTATTACTGGAACAACGCTGACATGTCACACAACAAAGGCTGCCTTCTCAGAAGTGATTCAGTGAGAAGCCGTTTTTTTTTTTCTCTTCTAGAGGTGCACTGTCATCAGAAATAAGGTGTCAACCTCTGCCTTCATGAGAACGTAAGCTGTGTGTCAGCTGGCTAGGCTAGAGGAGTCAATACCTAAGAATTATGAGAAACAGAAAGAGAAAATTATAAAAGCTAAAAAAAATCAAGTTTCAAGAGTGACTTGCGGTAACTTCTGTTATTAGAGGTTTAAGTCACACACTGGGAAAGCATGTGTATCCCTTAAAGTAAATTAAAGTGTAGCTGAAAAATGACTCGTATCCTCTTGTATTTGACATCGTAACAGTGGTCAAATAAAAATTCTTCTCCGCTGTCTACAAGAAAATAAAGACCTAAGAGTGTGCAAAGTCATTCGATGCCTCAATTTATGCATTTAACACCTCGGTTACTGCTAAAGCCATTTATTAAATACAACACTGTGGTGTACCTGACCTCCATTGGGGTCATTTGTAATTTAGCAACTACCTAAATTTGCCCATGTTGATTATTTTTTTACACACACATGTAACACTTGGCAGTCCAAATTTCAGCAGGTATTGACATGGTGCATGAAAAATCATCCCAGAGAACACCAACTTGATGATTTGACTATAAAAAACAAAAAAGAGAGTACAAAGTGGTTTAAACCAAAACTTTAATCACCTTTTTCTCTTCCTCTCAGAGTCATTTGTCCTGGACTTGCTTTGGGGTGTCTTGGCTGTGCTCGATTTGGAGATGCTGTCTTCCCTGCGTCGTTTGCTGCGTAGAAAGGAGGAACGCAGGTAAACAGTTGTTTAGTAACGACGGTAAATTTAATTATTTTTTTTTTTACACATGTAGCCTGTAGCCAAGTCCAAATTACACCAAACAGAGACGGTATAGTTTAACATTTTGTCATCAGTTTTTACTCCTGGTTTTATAGATTCTAGTTTTTCTCAGATTCGTTTCCAGAGTGGATTTTCTCATTTCAGTTTGGTTCTCATTAGAATCAGTGTCAGTTTCAGTATTTTTAGTTATTATAATGTGGGAAGTAATTGCCTGGGATAGAATAAAGAAGTCAGAACAGTTTTAAAACACACTTTATAATGACAATCGGCTGTGCTGACAAATGTGACCAAACTGAAAAGGTTTAAAACTAAAGATGTTTCCTCTAAGTTTGCCATTTTTAATTAAAGTACAAAGTGTCATTTCAGTTAATTTCATTGTTTTGTTTGGTTTTTTAATCCCAGTTTAATTTTTTCTTCTATTTGGCTCGTCAACATTTTTATGGGTTTCATCGGATTCACTTTACATCTATCCTCACTCTGACATTCATACTTTGTTAGAAGTTGAACCAGTAATAAGTCAATCCTCTGTAACCCTGTGTATGTAGATCATTTATCAGCTGATTATGGCTGATAATCTACACACGCTTTGTTTATCAGACTCACTGTACTGACTGTGCTGTGCTGCCATCGAGCTCCTGCTCCTTGCAGGGAGACTGTGCAGGCGCTTTGCTGTCCTGTCTGTAGTCCCCTCCGTCCTCCTGCTGGCTGCCATTGTGCCGCTCCGTCGGACACCTGGCCTGTGGCTGAGGTGCAGGGGGAGACTCTGATAGCGGCTCCTGATCTTCCTTGGATAATTCCCGCCATTGATTCTACACGGAAAGATTGACAGCAAACAGGATGGGAACAGCAGTACTTTTTTCCAATGACAAAACATTCTGTATGTTTCCACTCTGTAAAATGACATTGTGCAACAAAAGTATATAAAGCAGGTTAGGTTTATGAGGTTAAATACGTAAATACAACGTAGAGCACCTGGTGCTGCATGTAAATGACTGTCTCAGACAGCATTTTTCAAGGATAAGGATTCAAAGACAATACAATGTAAAATCTGTCTACCTTTCAGGACTCTCAAAAGAAAACAGAACCTAAATTTTAAAAAGAATTTGGTAGTGTGTATCGCAGTCTTCTAAACCTATTAGCTCTGAATACATTACTGCTGTGTCATTGTCTGCTCTTGTCTTCATCTCCACAATAATTGCTGAAGACAGAGAGCAAAGACAGAAACAGTTATTTTGTAAGTAAAGACTAAAAGTTGACTTTGTATTCGGTTTGTAGCAGTGTTGGGGTAATGTATTACACATTTATTGTTAGTTAATTACTCCCTTAGTTACACTACACGTTACTATGGAGTAATGCAAAAGTAATATATAAATTATATATGAACAATAAACACAAGGCTACAGTCCCTGACACAAATCTTGATCCTAATGAGGACAGAAATACGATATTTCTTTGAATGTTTACGTATCAACACAAAAACGTTAAAAACAACCCTAAAGAGACTTCAGAGCAATCGCCATGGTGATTCTACTGTAGAAACATCAACAGGGAGTAATGGAGGGTATAGTCTGACTGCTCAACACTTCCTTTGTTACGTGTTGAAGATCAGGCTCTGGGTGCTGGGCTGACGACTGCATGCACTCAGCTTTAACATCACTCTGAGTCTTGCCTAGCTTAGCATTTGCATGCTGTCTGTGCAGATGTTTGCAAGTTGTATTGTATTAGCATATATTGTATTAGTAGTTGTATTAGCAGTATAATACAATTGTTTCCATCCTGGACGCAGTCTGCGCTTTACAATTGCACACTCGCCCTTTTGCGTAACAATAAATTAATGTGTACTACTTCAACAAGTGCGCAGGAAGCAAAAAGCAATAATTTTCTTTGGAACATATTGCACCCAACGCTAGTCAGCAGGATCATAGTGATGCACACCAACCAAATCAGTGTGGCCATAATGTGGCTCCCTTACTGACGAATATAGTTCCCTTGATTTACAACTTGGGGATTTTGTAGATAAATAATATTCCTTCCATATAAAATAAACAGATACCATGCGTTTGATTTATATTTACTGCTATACTTGTGTTTATCTAGGTGTCCTAGAAAAGCTCAGACTCAACATACAGTCTGAGTTTAAATGGAAGAACAGAATACCAATGTTTTAGTTATCATTTTTCTTGCATTGTAATTCACACTGGGCTTATTATAATACTTTGCTTGAGCCTTCAGATCTCAAGTTGTCAGTCTGGCTTTTCCATCCCCAAATATTCCACCATCTCTCTTTGACTAATTCACAAAGTAAGCCCCCAGTTTTTTTGTATTCCTGTCTGGAACAGCTACCTGTACAGATGAGTCTCCCATGATAAACTTTGCCCCTTCAAGGACAGCCATGTATGAGAATCGCAGCTGATCAGGAGTCTGAATCAGACCCATTCGGTATTTCCTCATGTTCAGCAGGATGCTTTTGATGTCTACTGATGAGGGGTCTTTCCTCTTGTCCATCTAGAAAATACAGCAATAATACACATTTCCATTAACCAGAAGGAAATCCCAAATCTCTTTATGTCAACCCATGTTTTCAAAGGGAAATCCAAATCAATTTAATCTCCATTATTTTTTCTTCTCCTACAGCATAAACTTGTAAATGACCTGAATGT